AGCAACTCTTTGTCATAAAAAATGTCTAAAACCTTAATCTTTTCCCTTATATCCACCCTCTGACATGGAATGTTCACATCAGCGTTTACAGGACACGAAGGCAAAGGGGGCATACCATGAAACATGGTATCTGAATAAATAAGCTTAGATTCGTCATCTAATTCTTCTCCGTTAGAATCACTATCTAGGCCCGATATATCCAACTTGTCACAATCCGCAAACTCGCCATATCCTTTTAGTTCACCATCATGCAAAAACGAAACTTCCTGTTTTCCAGATTCATTACCAACCTTAGTCACCACGGCTACTGCTTTTTTTTTGTCAAATTAATCATTTACACCAACATCATTAACATATGCACCAACATCATTATCACCGATATACTTATAATTCTCTGGTGTAACATACATAATCGGTTCTGGCACTACATTTACATTTTCAGCAACACTATGATATTGACTTTTACTTGGACTTTTAAAATTACCTATTGGGTTGTTGCTCCCTTTTCCACTTGATAAATTTGCTGCAGATGCCTTTCCTCTATCATCCATTTCGTTCGGCCAAACGCCTTCTTCAACCACCACATACACAGACACATGTTTATCTCCAACGCCATTTATTACCTTCATCAGCTTTCTAATATCACGATCATCAACAATACCACAATAATAGAGTTGTTTTGGATGTTGATGGGCCAAACTAACTTTTGATTCTTCGGGAAGACCCATCTTGCACTTGACCAACTGAACAAATTCGGTGAACGTTGTGTTTTCGTAAAATTCAACACCTAAATAAAACATTCTCGGATTGTATCCCAGTAGCCAAACATATGATAATTGGGAATTAACAAACTCTCATCTTCCATCTGTGATGAGCAATACAAAATACTCGTTACAACTCATTATCTTAATTTTGAGGATAAAGAAGCTAGAGAGAATAAACTTTCCAAAAATATAAAATACTTAATATATATAAGATAGGTTGAAAACAGTCGTCAACTCTGACGAAAAAGTAGTCAAGTTTAACAAAAAAGTAGTCAAATTTAGCAACAAAGTAGTCAACTTTACTCAAAAAGTAGTCTACTTTTTCGTCAGAGTTGACTACTGTTAAAATTTAAACAAAATAATTCAAACCAAATAATTGTTAAAATTTAAACAAAATAATTGTTAAAGTTATTGTACATATTATAAACACTCTTTTTTATACTCTATATTACAAAAATAATAATAATAATAATAAATATAAAAAAAATAAAAAATTAAAACCGTAGTTTCTTGGACAAAATAGTAGATAAAACCCCCAAAATAGTAGATAAAACCCCCCCCCCCAAAAAAAAAAAAAAAAAAAAAAACGTAGCTTTTTTTGCGAAAACCGTAGACTACGGTTTGGGAAACCGTAGGTTTTAAAAAATCTACGGTTTTGAATGTCAAAAATGAAAAAAAAAATATACAAAACGCGAAACAGTAGACGAAATGGTGAAACAGTATTCGAATCTCGAAACTTACGGTTTCGTGGGCTATTTTTGGTCATTTGCTAATTTTTGGCTAAAAATTGATAATTACCCCCTTAAATTGGCTAGATTAGTAATTACTCCTTGCATAAATCATTAGAGATATATACAGTAAAGTTCCAATATTTTCAACGATTTGACAGAAAGTCTAAAATTTTATTTTTTTATAGTAAGTTCTAGCTACCGGTAGTTTTTGACACACTTACCCTTTTTTACCGGTTAACCGGTAATTAAGACTTTACTGTAAAATAAAATAAAGTTTGGGACTTTCTTGTCAAATCGTTGTGTGAGCTTTTTGCAGTCCTAAAAATGGAGAACTAAGAAATCGGAAAAGACGAACGTACCTTTCTTACATATTCACCACATTCACACCCCTTTGACTAGGCGTGTGTTGTTTGTTTTTGTACAATTTGTCCCTTCTTTTCCGTTCAAGATTTGGCGGCGAACCAAGAAAAAAGCTTTACAAGTCTTCTCACCCTTTCTCGCTCTCTCTTTTGCGTATGTTTCCTCTGATTGTGATTGTAGCAGTGTAAAGATGATGATGGTAAAAAAATAGTGGCGTTGGGATAAAAATCACAATTAAAAGTTCTTGGGCTACGCATTGGGTCTCACGAGACTAATAAATTATTTATTTCTAGGGAAACCAAAACTATACACTAAAGTCTCAATATTTTCAACGATTTGACAAGAAATTCCTAAAGTTTATATTTTTGACAGTAAAGTCGTAATTACCGGTTAACCGGCAAAAAAGGGTAATCATGTAAAAAAATGCCGGTAGTTAGAACTTTACTGTCAGAAAAATAAAGTTTAAGACTTTCTTGTCAAATAATTGAAAATATTGTGACTTTAGTTTATATATCCCTAAATCACTGATTAATATATATATATATATATATATATATATATATATATATATATATATATATATATATATAATTTGAATGTATATTATCCCCATAAACCAAATGTTTTGTTAATACCCCTTGTGAGTTATTATAACCATACTAATGACTGTTATGCCTTCTACGACGTTCTTCAGGCGTTTGAATGGTACAACATTTGTCACCCCAGACCTGCCAGTCCAACTGTAGCTAACAGTTTAGGTGCGGGTTTTTCAGTCTCGTATAGATCTATACACAAGTGTCACGCTCTCCCTCTAGGAGACTCTCGTTATAATACAAGACTTTTGTTGGTACTTATGTAAGTACTTGAAGACGTGTCTCACAAAGCCATATTGACTGCTTACGTGTAGTATAATGAAAAGCCATTTTTAATGTGGAAGTATTATCCTTCCATAGTAGTTATGTAGTATAAAATAATTATGCCTTTAAATAATTATTTTTGTATTGTATCCCGAAATGATAAAATAGCGTGTATGTCTCATAAACTATAACTATTATATATATATATATATATATATATATATATATATATGTTTTGTTGTACTGAAAAATCCTTTTTATGTACATTATAATTTTCATTATGATAATAAAATGAAATGAAATAATTATATATGCATCTTTATATAATTATACCCTTTTGCTCAACATATTACAAAAGGGTTAAAGTCTTATAAACTACTTTTATATAGTTTATTTATTGAAATCCATTTGTACCCGTTTCATATATATATATATATATATATATATATATATATATATATATATATATATATATATATTAAAAAAAACCATAACATATTTGTACGAAAACTTTGTATGTATACGTTCCTGAATTTGGAGATAACGATATTTCATGTATTTTAGCGTTTTCGCATAAAATATAAGAAAGCATATATAACGATTTGTATATTAACACAAGTTTTCTTGTGTTTTACTTGTATTCGCCCCCTAAAACATAGAAAAATCTTGAAAACTGTAGGGTTATGAACTCACATCGGGTGTGTTCTTGGCTGGATAACGAAATGATAGGAATGTTTTTCAAGTTAGAACACGTGAATATAGTCGTATCCTAATTTGTTTTAAACACATAATAACATGTGTAAATTAGATAAACTAATATTTAAAGTGTTGTATAACAATAGATTATGTAAGGATACTTACTATATTCCGAAGAATCAACATGAAGTATTTGGTTTTCCTGGGAATTGTTTGAAGATATTATGGGCGAAGTTATGAAGATATGAAGATTGTATGAATGTTCTTGTGAATTTTGAGAGAATTTGGGACGTAAATGAGGGAAAATGGGGAGTGATTTCAGTTGTACATATATATATGGGGTAAAAGATGATGTGACATATGCTCTTCAAGTTAGAACACATGAATATAGTCGTATCCTAATTTGTTTTAAACACATAATAACATGTGTAAATTAGATAAACTAATAATTAAAGTGTTGTATAACACTAGATTATGTAAGGGTACTTACAATATTCCTAAGAATCAACTTGAAGGATTTGGTTTTTCTAGGAATTGTTTGAAGATATTTTGGGCGAAGTTATGAAGATATGAAGATTGTATGAATGTTCTTGTGAATTTTGAGAGAATTTGGGACGTAAATGAGGGAAAATGGGGAGTAATTTCAGTTGTACATATATATATGGGGTAAAAGATGTGACATATGCCTTGAAATGTGTAATTTATCACATTGGTAAAAGTGCCACCCTATCCAAATTGAGATTTCGGCCTATCCTCACTGAGAACCCTCTTAAGCCACTGAAATCTCGCATGATCTCGGTTTAGAAGGTGATTTCGGTCTAGGGTCTTCGGTTAAGAGTGATCTCGGTCAAGTAGGATTTCGGTCTTAAGGTGTTCTCGGTCTAAAGGTGGTTCTCGGATCAAGGGGTTCTCAGTCCAAGCATGAGATTTCGGTTAGCATGTGATTTTTGATTTTGGATTCCTAAAATCGAAATCTCAAAAGTAAAGTCAATTTTCATAATTTATTTTAATTATTTGACTTTTTTTGCATAATTGACTTTTGGTTTGACTTGTTTGACTTTTATTGACCCGAAATAACCGGTTGTTACATTATCCCTCCGTTAGAGGGAATTTCGTCCAAAAATTATTTCTAAAGTAGGTACTCATGAACTGGGGAAAAGATGCAAGTATTTTTGTTTCATCTGATATTCTCGTTCCCAAGTAAATTCAGGTCCTCGCTTGGCGTTCCAGCAGACCTTCACTATTGGTATACGTGTAACAATTGGTAAAAATCGGTTAGAGTTCGACGGTCAAACCACCGCGAACTGCTATGTATTATTGACCAATTGTGTCTAATTTTATGTTTAACTAGATGGGGAGCCCCGCGTTGCGGGGCATGGAGGTAAAGAGATACGATCGAAAGTTTTACGGGAAGTCACCAAAATGACAATGCAAAAAACAGAAAAAGATAAATAGGTACAACTTCAAAGTACATTATTATTTAGGGCATTTTAGTACAAAAAATAGAAAATGTACCTAATGGCAATGTAGTTAGGTTTTTGAAAAAAAAAAACTAAAAAGAAAAATGAAAAAAAAAACAGAAGAAAAACATGAAAATTCAAAGTATGTTGCTATTACCGCAATTACTCAAATGCTTCCATGTCACATGCAATATTAAAACAAACAATTATTAAAAATGAGTAGTTGTAATTGGAGGTCTATAACAAACAAAATGATAGTATTAGTTTAAAATTTAGCAAAAAATAAAAAATGTTGCAACCTTGCAATTATAGCTCCAAATCCAAAGAATTAAACCGGGCTGCAATGAGAGTTACCTTGCATAAAGATGTGTTACTTAAAGTTAGAATGGCTTCCATTAATTTTAAAAACTATTTTCAAATAAGTATATACTTTCAACTATTAAATGTTCATATTAACAACCTTCTTTCATCTGTTGCTGCAAGTGTTTTGCTTTCTCTTCTTTCAACCACACGTACCCCCGCCATCTCACCAAGATACACAACGGCCTATAAAATCCAGAGTATGTGTTATCATTATTTGTAATATTAATATTTTTTTAATGAATATAAATCATACATACATACAATTGTAATATATCGTTTTAATCAAATTATTCAACAATTTTTCAGGATGGAGAAACCTACATACATGGAATACAATTTTGACTTGCTATGCAATCACAAATAATTGTTAAGATGATACCAATAGGGGAAAAAGAGTTGTAAACCAAAAATGTTTCTCTTTGAAGCATTAAAAAAAATAGGTGGCATGCTTCATGGTCCGATCACAAAGCCCAAAAGGTTAGCCAACTGCAAAATAGATAAGAACAAAATGGTCATTTTCAAGGATTTAATAAATTTTTTAAATGACTATACCCATGGAAATCAATAAAGCATTTGTTTATACTTTGAGCACTGTTATGGGGTAGTATAAACAAAGGTAAACCCTGAACATCTGAGTTTCCTGTTTTGACATTGAGATCATAGATTTAGAAATCTACATGTATACAAAACCAATGGAATGGAAAGTTGGAAAAAGAATGTGAAAATAAATAATAGTTACTAAGAAGCAGATTTACCTACTATAAAACGAACAAAATAAAAGCAATTCAGCCGTGTGTTATTAAAATATGTATTACCTGAAGATATATGCATCAGGTCCAAGCCCATAGTAACCCTCAACAAAGGGAAAGTAAGAAATATACAATGTAGTTGACAGGATAGTCTCCTTAAGTGGGCCCAGATTTCCAGGTGGGCCAAATGTGTCCCTGGACCTACATAAAGTGCATCAGTTGGATTTGAAATTTTGTTCTCTGTGATTCCAAGATATGCACCTGTGCATACAATTTACAAATCAATAATCACATGAACATGATATTTCATATTTCTTTTGTTCTTTTTTTCAATGAATAATCTGTTAAGTTAAGTTTTAGTGTCGATATTTACCGAGTCTTTCTTGGAGTTTGTGTTGCTATGTAAGCAAATCCAACATCTGGAATTAAACAAACCAATTCCATTAGCTTACACCATCCATGAAGCTTATGTATGGCTTTTTGTAGTCTAATATTTTACAAATAAGAGAATACTAAGCAGCAAATACCTATAGATACAAATGTGTTGTAGAAATCGAGAAGATAGTTTATGGAAGACAATGAACTCATGCTTGTTGAACATCAGACCTGCAATAGAATGTAAAAATCATTGTCATTTCCAAATTATAAAATGCTCACCTAGAGTAGCAGACAAAAATCAAAACGCCATGAGTTTCAATTGTGAGAGAAAACTAACCTTGAAATATGAGACAAAACTAATCTTGAAATATGAGGCGTAGGTTGTACTTTGTATATGTATTTTATCGTCTGAGACCAGGAACACCTGATTGGAGAAGAAACAGCAAGAAGATGGATGCGAGTTACCCAAAATCGGTAAAACCTAACTTCAAAATAAATGCAATGAAACAAATTCTAAACAAAAATTGAATAAGAATAGGAGCAAACGAACTCATCTGAAACGGATTAGGTGTTTATAACAAAAGCACTAACAAAACATAGTAAAACACCTGAAAATAAAAAACACCAAGTAGATTGTACCTGAATCAATCGTTCGTCTCTTTTTTCTTATATAAACCCCTAAGTATATTGTTAGTTCAACACACTATTAACAAAAAATGAGCATACTACACCTCCAGATGGGTTATCGTCTCCGAAACACCCCAAAATCGGAAACAATAGATGCTCTGCATTGTGAAGTGCTACCTTGCGAGCCTTCCTCATCCATTAATCACTCCAGACCTCCACACGAAGGGCCTTTGAAGATGGTCGACGATCTAATTGGAAAACGAAGGCAGCAACTTGGTGATGTACTCTCAAAAGAAGAAAGATGCAAGACGGTCTTAGAGGGCTAGAGAGAGGTGGGCTAGATTAAAAGCGGCGATACCTGGGTTAAATTGATTGCAACACATAAGAACCCTAGGACGAACAACGTACAGGGATGACGCAAAATTGGGGAAGAAGACGGCTTGGAAGAGACGAAAGGCGGTGGGAACTGGGAAGTATCCGGAAGTTCGATATATGCTGGAATCGGAAGATATTGGATAAGGAGGCGGTAGCGGGAGACGTGGGAATGACACGTATCAGCCCCATCCTTATCTTTACACCAATGTTAATAATTTAAGGGACCAAATTGTCAATACCACAAACTTTAGTGCGAAAAATCTGAACCACTAAAAATATGAAAACTTATGGGCCATTTTTGCCAAAAAAATCAGGATGTTCACTATTCATAAAGATGGTCATCTTTAATATATATATAAGAATATGTATATTAAATTTATTATATTGATAATTTCTTTTAGAACATCCCAAACTGCTTAAACCGTCTATCGTTGAAGATTGAATAAAAAAAATCAACAAAAATTAAATCTATTTGTGTCGTTAAAAATAAAATTTCTCATTAAGTTTATTTGAAAGTTATGGATTTGAATATATAACCGTTAATCCTTGAGGGAACGACTAACGTCGGGTGTAAGTGTCATATTATTGATCTTATACGGTACGACCGGCCGCCTGGAGTTGCTAGCTACAACTACATCTGACGAGATGAATTTTGGCGCTGACGTTAGCATTATCGAACATTACCACGTGTTATAACAGGGTGAATGACTTTAGCACGCACGCCTTATTATGGTGTCGGTGCATTAATAAAGTACAGTGTCACGAGTTCGGTTATGATTTCATTATAAAATCCCAGTTTTGTTACGTTACCGTATAAAATCGGTATTGGATTTATACAGGGTTTATGTTCACGTATTCTAGTTGAAAGAAATTGTATTTAGTGGGATAGCTTGTGACTCAAAGCGATAAATGTCAATACCAAAAATTAAGTCATATAACACTTCATTAATATCATGACATGACTCGACAAGATTTATTAACTTACATAAAATGAGTTATTTATATAAACCATTTGTTTTTATAATAAAACACAATATTTACGTAGGAGGAGTTTGCCCCACTGGTTAAGTGTCGGTTTTCAAATTAAGTCAGATAATACTTAATTATTGCCACGACACGATTTTACAAAGTTCATAAATTCAATACTTATGAGTTTTTCATATAAATGATACAAATTCTTGTATAAGGTTTCAAGAGTAAAGTTGGTTATTTTATGTTCTCACAAAGGGTAACATTTCCTATTTTTATATAATTTGATATTCAAAATCTTTATATAAAAATGCATTTTCATATAAGTCTGAATTACTTATATGTATTTTCCAACTTTTGTACATTTGGATTTGAACAAATGGTATTTATGAATGAGTCATAACACATTGTTATAACTCAATTATTTTATACTTTTAATAGAAAAGTAGATATGTATAAAAGTTGGTCAACCAGCTAAATTTTATCAAACACTTTTAGGTATAAAAATAATTTGTGTCAAAACCTGTAGAATTCACCAACAATTTTGCACACGTATTTTAATGCATGTATTCTCAGGTTATTTAGAAGGTCTGAAGTGTTCGTTCAGAAGATTCTCCGTTAGTTATATTATATCTTTGTAAACGTCAGAATGTTAGGCGTGTGTCACGATTTAGTAATAGTTATATTATATATATATATATATATATATATATATATATATATATATATATATATATATATATATATGTTTCGTTGTACTAAAAAATCCTTTGTATGTACATTACCATTTTCATTATGATAATAAAATGAAATGAAATAATTATATATGCATCTTTATATAATTATACCCTTTTTGCTCAACATATTATAAAAGGGTTAAAGTCTTATAAACTATTTTTATATAGTTTATTTATTGAAATCCATTTGTATCCGTTTCATATATATATATATAGTTATATATATATATATATATATATATATATATATATATATATATATATATATATGAAACGGATACAAATGGATTTCAATAAATAAACTATATAAAAATAGTTTATAAGACTTTAACCCTTTTGTAAAAAAAACCATAGCATATTTGTACGAAAACTTTGTATGTATACGTTCCTGAATTTGGAGATAACGATATTTCATGTATTTTAGCGTTTTCGCATAAAATATAAGAAAGCATATATAACGATTTGTATATTAACACAAGTTTTCTTGTGTTTTACTTGTATTCCCCCCCTAAAACATAGAAAAATCTTGAAAACTGTAGGGTTATGAACTCACATCGGGTGTGTTCTTGGCTGGATAACGGAATGATAGGAATGTTTTTCAAGTTAGAACACGTGAATATAGTCGTATCCTAATTTGTTTTAAACACATAATAACATGTGTAAATTAGATAAACTAATATTTAAAGTGTTGTATAACATTAGATTATGTAAGGATACTTACAATATTCCGAAGAATCAACATGAAGTATTTGGTTTTCCTGGGAATTGTTTGAAGATATTATGGGCGAAGTTATGAAGATATGAAGATTGTATGAATGTTCTTGTGAATTTTGAGAGAATTTGGGAGATTTTTGGACGTAAATGAGGGAAAATAGGGAGTGATTTCGGTTATATATATATATATATATATATATATATATATATATATATATATATGGGGTAAAAGATGATGTAACATATCCCTTGAAATGTGTAATTTATCACATTGGTAAAAGTGCCACCCTATCCAAATTGAGATTTCGGCCCATCCTCACCGAGAATCCTATTAAGTCACCGAAATCTCGCATGATCTGGGTCTAGAAGGCGATTTCGGTCTAGGGTCTTCGGTTAAGAGTGATCTCGGTCAAGTAGGATTTCGGTCTTAAGGTGTTCTCGGTCTAAAGGTGGTTCTCGGATCAATGGGTTCTCGGTCTAAGGCATGAGATTTCGGTTTGCATGTGATTTTTGATTTTTGATTCCTCAACCGAAAACCTCAAAAGTAAAGTGAATTTTCATAATTTAATTTTGATTATTTGACTTTTGTTTGCATAATTGACTTTTGGTTTGACTTGTTTGACATTTATTGACCCGAAATAACCGGTTGTTACAGTTTGGAGTGGAGAAGGTGAGGAATAACATGAGCAAACTTCTGTCATAAGTCGTTAATGGCGTAAGTGACTAATTTGTGTTTAGGAACCGGAGCCCTGATGTTGGAGAGGAGGTCATAGATCGACTTTATACAGGTACAGTACTCCATAACGGTGGAGTCACCAATGGTGATGTTACAGAGCTCATCATGAAGTTCAATAACTTCTGTTTCCTTGTTTTTTCATGAAATAGGTTTTCAATTGTTTTCCAAACTTCACTAGCCGTTGCATCAAGTGTAAGATGGCTTAAAGGACAGGTTGTGAGAGAGAAACATAGATCCATTGTTTAACAATATTATCAACCGTTTCCCACTCTATATCGGTTGTGTTCTTGCTAGATGAGGTTCCTGTAAGATGGTCATAAACTTTATACCATTTGCAATGGGTTTTCAAAATCTCCTTCTATGAGTCGTAATTCAGTCGATCTAAGTCTAAAAGGAGAGGAACATAGGACTATATGTTTGTGATTCCATAGATCTTGTCTGAGGGATTTGTTTTAGGAGACGGAGGATCATTGTCAGTCATGGGGATTGATGAACAAAGGATAATGAAGGAGAAAAGAGGCGCAAAAAATACCAAGAAAAAGAAGTGTCGAAAGGAGCAATGATGAGGAGGGAGATCGATGAAGAAACATGATGCAAGGATCAACTGGGGTTGAGAGAGGAAGCCTGATACCATGTTACAGAACATATTTTCCCATAAAACAGCTTATAGTCTTTCCATTCAATAAATACATACCACAATCATACATGGGCTGAATATACGAAATGGGCTAACTATATAAAAAGTAGATGGGATAAACTAAATAAATACATGTATACAAATAATACGGTAACAGGTTGTAGGTTTTTCATGGTTGTTGTGTGATGTGGTTAAGAAACAATGATACTTGAATATGTTTGTTTGTTTGTTACGAAATTGTCTAGATACATTTTTGGTTTTAAGTAATTGTATGGTTTGAATTAAAGATAATAGTTGTGGGGTATTGATGAATTTTCTGGATTATGTTTATTATGTACTGTTTTATTGGTTTTTTCTTCTTCAGAATATTGGTAGTCTTTTACTATAAAAGTTGGATCATATTTTTTGGTTCCTACAACTTTCTGATGTAAAAGTATATAATCAACAATGATTGATGATGCAAAATTTATGTTGTATATTTTTATGATGCAAAATGAGTGTTTGGAAAATATACACATTCATCAAAAAAATTGAATCATAAACTTATGATTATTTTTTTTATGTATCAAAGAAAGTTGTGATCTTATTTTGTGAAAAGTAAACATTTTCATCATTTTATTTTTGATCAAAAGGTTTAGCATCATATAAATATGGATTTTAAATGTTTTCATCATGTTATTTTGGATCATATGACTTTGAATTATAACTTATAACTATTTGGATCATAATTATTTTCTTATTATAAAAGTAATTTAATTATATATACTTTAACAATAATAAAGATCCATACTTTTTATCTAGTTTTTTTAGATTATAGCTCGTGTGCATCATAAATAGCTCGTATACATCATAAATATTGGATCATAGATTTTGTATATTGTATTTCTACGTCATATAGTTTTGTATCATAATTTATAAATAGTTAGATCATTAATATTTTCTTAATATAAAAATACATCAATTTTATACTTCAAAAATATAAAGATCAAAAATCTTATGTCTTGTATATTTAGATTGTAAACAACATTTTGCATCATAATTTTTGGATTTTAAATTTAAGATCAACATTTCAATTATTCATATTCATGATCCAAATTTTCATGATTCAACTCATATTTTTAATCATAAACCTTGTGCATCATAAATTTTTGGATCATAAACTTTTGCATTTTGTAAATTTCGATCATATACATTTTGAGTTATAAAAATATGTATCTAAAATTTTAGGATCTTAATGTTCAATTATAGATAGCCATGATCTAAACCTCTATGATGCATCTCACTTTTTCGATCAGAGACCATGTGCTTCATATGTTTTGGGTCATTAGTTTTTAGATCTTTTAATTATGGATTGTATAACATTACGATCATCCATGATAACTTATTTTCAACAAACCTCTATGTATAAAAAATGGGACCTTAAAATGACTCTAAAGACATTCGGTTGTGCAGAAGATCATAGAAAAAAGTATCAAATGAAGCTTTCTTTTTTAGTCCTGTTTTAATGCCTAATTTGCATCCACTTTCGTATCCAACTACTCTGTTTTACATTTTTTGTAGTTGCTAATCTTGTTTCAAAACCACTTTTATGTGCATATTCTTTCTAAAAAAGCTAATTCTTCTTAGAATAAAGAAATCAAACCCATTAGGAGGTTAATTTACACATATTTATTAATGTCCAATAACAAACCAACACAAAAATCCAAATTTAGTTGAATAGCATCAAGCCTCAATTAAAATATTACAAATCAAAGAAATAATAACTTTAATATATGGTGTTGAAAGGAATGACTCCAATGATTAAATGTTAGCACAATTAAAGTATTATAAAAGATTTAAGTTATTAAAGTTAAAATTAAAACTTGATGAATGCATCATATGTGGCCATCCCAAGCATGGTACTTGTTGCAGATTATGGTAAATCCAAGACTTCTTGCATAACTTAACATATTTTAACCGGTAGGAGAAGACCATCATGGGATATGTCCACACTGCATCAAAACACCAAGGTGTGTATATATATATATATATATATATATATATAATATATATATATATATATATATATATATATTATATATATAATATATATATATATATATATATATATAGGTTTAGGTTCTATGGAAAACAAAAAAACCTAAAAATCAAAAAATACATAAAAAAAATACTTAGAGATCACAAAACTTTCTTTTAAATTTTTTTT